CTTAGTATGACAATGGCTAAATGAGCAGTATCTCCCAGTTAATGGGTTCATAACTGGCTGTCATGGTAAGCAAGAAATTCCTGGTTAGAAACCACATGCAAAATGTAAGCATTAGGGCAATTGCTGCTATTAGCTACTACTGTCTAATTCGTACGATGTACAGCACTGTACCAAGTGAACTGCTTGTAAGGATCTTTGGAAAGGAAAACAGAAATACTTCATTATTTCCAAAAGTGTAACTTGAATGCAGTAATTTACTGCACCACCTCACTCCAAATGCGAGACAGGCTGTATTTATTTCTTGTCTTCTGCATCCGAGCTAACTACCTTGAGGCAGCAGTATAAAAATCAGTTGCTGTGACTCACTTCTTGAAAATTTATTTTGCTGCTTCTTAAAATCTTGGCCTGCTTGACCTCAGCAGCCTTCACCAGTTTGAAAATGCAAGTTATAATTCTCTGTAGGGATTCAGGCAGGTGTCTATTACAGCATGTAATCTGCCATACAGTTTCCAATGTTCACGCTGCAGAAGGTTTAAGCCTCTATATGTTCCTGACTAAAAATGTCCATGAGGTGTTAGTGTGGACTGGAAGCAGATTGAAAGAAGCAACAGCTTCTTTCAAGCCCTAAGGCTGTCTAGATGCCACTGAGGAGCTCTCTGGATGGACAGGTTTCACCTGAGTGGCAGCACTCAGATTTTAACCCTTTAACAGCAGCTGCAGCACTGCTGCTGGGTCCCATGACATTCATACTACTGCTGAACCCCTGTTTTAAACGAAAATCCTCATTCTAGGGTCACTGTCCCATCCTTCCACCCATTCACCAGGCCAGTCCTGAAGGTGCATGTGGTAAGACATGCTCCTGCCCACCGGGATCAAGGCCAGCCCCAGCACCCCACCCCAGACAGGGATACTTGCAGAACACCTCAGACACCACTATAAAAGTTCAAGCTGGCTGGCACAAACAGATATCACTGTGTGCTAAAACAAACTAAATCCAGCTAATTAAGAGGAAACCCTACTGGGACCAGTCAGCCCTAGTCAGCAGCTTCCCAGATAGCTCGCTTTTTACAGCTGGGCCTTAGCATGATCAAACAGTGCGATACAGCCACATGCCCTCACCATGCATGTAAAATGGGTACCCCTTTGTAAAGCCAAAACTTTTTTTACTATGTCACTAGTTTTGGTAATATTCTTAATTCCATGAGCAGCCTAAAACAGAATAAATAGCAACTTAATTTGCCTCCCTGCAATGAGCTATTTAATATCAGTCTGCAATTACTGCACAGGAAAATAGTGGGTTTCTTTTAGATGCTCATGGTGTTAGGAAAGGTTCAGTTACCTCTTACACTAATTGGCAGTAAATGTTTAGAAGTATTTATTAGTGTTTAATTATTTAGAAATCTCCTAACGGCTTAAATATTGTCTTGAAAAGTTATACATATTTTCCACCTTGTCCAGCTGAAGACCTGCTGCTTGGAAGGCTTAAATGAAGAGCTATTTAAGGCTGCCTGCTGGTCACAAAATTACTTGCAACTGCTAAACCTCCAGTCCTGTAGATGTGCCCAACATGGAATGGGCTTAGTTTTCACGAACTGGGGAAAGTTTCCTTTGCTGTATTCATTTTACCAAGGTAGAGATCTTAAAGAGGATTATCACAGAGATCAAGACACTAAAATACGTAACTAATCCCAAATTTAATTGTTTTCATACTGATATGTACTAAGGGATATTTGTGTAGGGTAAGACACCTTTACACTGTTTTGGTCATATAGGTATGACTTAACATGCAAATTACATTTAAGGTGAAACATAGGCAGTTTAAAGCTAAGTTGCTGGTAGAAAAAAAAACCCCACAAACTAGAATCTGACTCCAAGCCTCTGACACAATAACCACGTTAAATATTTCAGAATCACATCAGGGACTCTCATGTCAGTAGGCAGAGGGGAACTCACCTAAGCTCATCATTTCGCTGTGTCAGAATTCAGGACATTTATTTTATTGGCTTATATCAGCTTAGATTTTTTTTTTTGTCCTAATCTCCTCACTAGAATACTGAACACCCTACAGATTATTTTGGTGTCATCAAACAACTCACCTCTTAAGAGAGAATTTTGTGCTATAAAATTAAAAGAATAATTCCATTTACTGGGAAGGATATGCCTGAAGGTTTTTCTTACCATTTTCATTTTTGATGACATCCTTACCCCAGGGTTCCTGTGATAGGTTATGCCACTGATATTACTGCTGATAAGAATTTCTGGTGCAGGGACAGCACTGTGACTCTGATCCATTTCTCACTATGCTCTGCCATTAACTGGAATAGCCTTATCTGTCCCAAAAAGCTTTGTGAGCACAGAGATGTAGGCTACCGTTCAGTAGCAAACTAAGGCTGATTTTTAGCATTCACAGCACCATTCTTTCAGGTATCTTCTTACCACTAGTTCTTATGATCTGTCTGCATTCACACTAGCTTGTGTTTTGATAAAGCCCTGCTTCCCAGCATTTTCTGATTATATTGGCACCTCAGCTTTTTCTAAAAAGGAAAAGATAAAAGAAAAAAGGAGCTAAAGAAATCAACTCATATACAAAAAGAAACAGTATATCCCACACAATCCAGGTTACTCACTGGAAGCCATAAAACATGCCTCCTCCAGCACCAGGGACTGGCGGATCAGAACAGCTTTAGTTTTTAACATGAAGAATCACAACAGACTCAGTGATTGCTTGTGAAGCAGGAAACCAAGGCCATCCCTCAGCAGTGCTTAATGCACCTGTCTGGCTACCCAGAAACATTTATTTGCTGGGTTCTATAACCATGACCTCCCAGTGAAGTTGCTTTTACCAAAGCAATAACAGAAGTATATACATTATAAGTGCACAAGCAGCTTCATGGTGACAGGTACAGAAGTGACCAGATTTTTCTAGTAAACCACAGAAAGGTGTGATTTATGAAATTATGAGCATTTTCTGCAAAACTGATATTTACAGATAGTCAAAGGGTCTGGTACCTTAGAGATTTCACAATAGCTATATTTTCCCTAAGGAAAAGAAAAGGCTTAACTAAGTTAGTAAATTCTGGCATTTGTGTCTAGTACATTAAATGGAGCTTAAATAATAAAAAAATATGGTGTTTACTTTATTCTGCTTGACTTATTTTTTGATTTTCACTGTTTTATTCAAAAGGAAGACATAGAAATTGTAACCATGAGCTTGAAATCAGAGCTATAACAGGGAATTATTATAGATATGTTTTGCAGAATATTTCCAGTTACAGCTGTATGTTTTGAAGCTGTCAGTGTAACAAGCAGTGTGCTGCTTCCCAAATAACCCTTTTTGTCATCTTGTAGTTTTTTTCTTTAACTTTGAGTCCCAGTGAATCGTCAGTTTTAACATTCATCTGTATTAATGGAAAAGAGAGAAAGAAAATAGTATTTCGCTGCCTATGTAAGAGGAAGTTGCTAGTGGGAAGCTCAAAGTGAGCGCAGAAGTCCCTTTACTTGTGTTTCATGGGAGTATGTCAAGGAGCAGAAGAGCAGCCAAGGTGGAAACTCATATTTGAAACCCGTTTCTCACACTGGATAGCATTGAATTGCTTCATTGCCCTGGGCCTTTGAGATGGAGAGAAACATAACTGTAATTATAAGAAAGGAAAAGAAAAGGTTGATTATTATATCAGGGCTTGTTCTGTTTTCAGGCTATGTGAGGTGAACTCTGATTAATGACAACTACACTTATTAATAACAACAGCTACACTTATGCCTCTATTGAGGACTGCTAGGTATAGGTATGTGCATCTTTTCCCCCAGCAGTGCCGACCATCAGTCAAAAGACACATGGTTTCTTTGACAATCTGTGTGTAAGGTGGAGGAAATGATACAGAGCAGCAGCTGCTTTCTGAAAGAAACATAGAATTAATAAGAAGCAAGATATCAACGTACTCTTGAAAGGCAGAATTGGAAAAATGTGATTCAGTGCAGCCTGTGGGACCTGATATCTTGGCAACTGCTTCAGATATCCCCAATCTGCAGACAAAATAGCCTTTGTGAAGAAGCCCAAGATCGTAGTATGCAAGTTAATGTATCAAAAGGTCAGGAAGAGAATAATTCACTCTCACTTTGCTGCAGAGGACAAGCAGCAGTAAAAGCTGTGCACTATTGGCAAGCTTTTTTGTTGCTGTTTTTAACTCAACCCCCAGTTTAGAGCTCTAGCCACCTCGGCAGCATTCCAGCTAGAGTTGCTGACATCTCCCACCTAATCAAGTGCTGGTTTATCTTGTCCTGGAGCTAGTGCCTCGTGAAAAGTCTTTCCTGAAGTACTTTGCTACCCTGTAATAAGATGGCAGATGTCTGAATCAAGCCCCAGAGCTGGCAGAGTGCTGTTTCCTTAATGGCTTTTGGTAGCAAGTATAAACGTTTTAAGGCAAGCCAGTGCTAAACTGGAAGCACAGTTAAGCATGATAAATTTCGCACCCAAGTGAAAGAAAACTAGAAGGTGTAGTAGGTAGTGGTTCATACTGAATATGTACAGGCTGCACTGCTTACCTCAAAACGCTTGCCCTAAATATTACTTCTTGTGTGAGCGGAGCTCTTGAGGAACATATTTGTTTTAAAACGTAAATTCTCTTTGGCTGCTACATCTTTCTAGGAAGAGTTGGAGTTATTGAGCTGTTAGAGACTTGCTCAGCCTTCTGTGACTCAATCGCTGGTCCAAGTCATTCAGGGTAGATAAACTGTTTTCTTTCTCTAAAACATACTAAGAAAAACGTTTATGTTACAGAAGCAAAGGTACTGTACATGTGTGTGTTTGTACATTAACAGGTAAAACAGCCAGGGTAAATATAGCTAACATAGAGGTATTCTTTGCAAACATTTGTTTTTTTTTTTCTTGGTTTCAGTCCTGGAGAAAAAGCAGCAGTTCTCATGTGCCAGACAAGCAACATCTTTATATATCACAGCCACCTATACTGTGCCTCTCATAACACTACTTTGCTCTTTTCCAGGGGAATCCGTACATGTGCAATAATGAATGTGATGCAAGTACCCAAGAACTGGCTCATCCTCCAGAACTGATGTTCGATCTCGAGGGAAGACATCCCTCCACATTTTGGCAGTCCACAACTTGGAAGGATTATCCAAAGCCTCTTCATGTGAATATTACGCTCTCCTGGAACAAAACCATTGAGCTTACAGATAACATAGTTATCACTTTTGAATCTGGCCGTCCAGACCAAATGATCCTGGAGAAATCACTTGACTATGGACGAACATGGCAGCCCTACCAATATTATGCCACAGACTGCTTAGATGCTTTCCACATGGATCCAAAATCAGTGAGGGATTTATCACAGCACACGGTCCTAGAAATCATTTGCACAGAAGAATACTCTACTGGGTACATGACAAATAGTAAAATAATCCACTTTGAAATCAAAGATAGATTTGCTTTTTTTGCTGGACCTCGGCTTCATAATATGGCTTCTCTTTATGGCCAGCTTGACACAACCAAGAAGTTAAGAGATTTCTTTACCATCACAGATCTGAGAATAAGACTGCTCAGGCCAGCAACTGGAGAAATATATGTAGATGAGCAACACCTGGCACGCTACTTTTATGCAATTTCAGACATAAGAGTATACGGAAGGTAAGAGAATATATACTTTTAGAAACAGGCACATGTGTTTGCTTTTAGGGGTTATTCAAAACCCTTTATTTCCCAAACATGACATTTGCTGCCAAGATATGCTCATTGGAAATATGGCTCAGTTGAAGTCCTTTACTTTTCATGATAGAAGTTTCTGACTCAGAGGCACAAAGTCCCGGGTGTTCACTGGCACTAGCCTGGGATCTTGAGCCCTAGCTCTCACGAGCAGGATGGTATTAACAGTTTCTTATGTAGGCTCAGCAATTTACCCTGGCAGCAGGACACTCTCTGCTTTTATATAGTTTGAGCCTGATCTGATGGTAGTTAACTGAAAAGAGAGATTCTGTTTTATCATTCGACTTTTTCAGGCCTTTAATGTAAGCCGTGATTGATAATGCAGCTCTTCCGCAGACCCTTCCCACTAGGTCTGACTAAGAACTGCCTGTGAACAAGGAAGGCAGCAGAGATTACAGTCCATTACTTTCACTTAAATTAGTTCTGAAATACAGTGAAGCTGAAGTAAAATGAAGAATAAAATAAATAAGAGAAACAAACCAAAAACAAACAAAACAAACAAACAAAAAAACCCAAAACCCACTACAGAATACAACACTGTTTTATAGAGACTCATTTGAACCTAACAAAGATGATTACTCAGCTGGGTTTGAGACAAACAGTCCCTCTAGGGCAAGCAGTGGCTGGTATCAGGTGCCATAGTCCCAGAAATAATAACTGTGCATAGACATTCCTATTGGGAAATTTTCTTCCACACTCAAACTAGCAACTGACTAATGACCTCAGGCAAGAGTGTGATACCCTTTATGTGTATCTGGGATGCCAATTTTTTCTAAAGATATAAATGGGACCTTCTTTATTAGCAATTCACTCACCTCTCTAATGTACTTTTTCCTTCTCCTCTGTTTCTTCTATAGAGAGTTCAAATCTTCCTTTCTAAACCCATCTCTTTTTTTCTTTTTTTTTTTTTTTGAGAGAGAAGCTAAGTACCAAAATGAACAGAAAAGCTAACGTATGTTGGAAGATCAGGGCATTTTTTTGCAGACACAGGACTGAGTGCAAAAAAGAATAGAGACAGTGATTATATGAAACAATGATGACTATATTTTTATTACTGCTGTAGTAAGTTTGCCATTTTCTGCTTCTTTTTTACAAGCCTTTCATGTTCATAAGCATTTCCATATTGCAAAAACTAATACATAAAATCAAAATGTAATCAAATTACTGTGATGTAATCATTGAAAAATATTATTTTTCAATATAGAAAGGAATAATTATATTTAAATAAATAATTTTTATATAAAATATGAGTTTTATATAAAGGAAGAATATATGCCATATACAGATTTGAATGCATAAGTGCTTTTGCAGTGGCGATATATTTTTATACGGTATCAGAAACATTTGTTAGGACCATAGGTTTACATAGTACGTAGTTGCAGTCTTCTGTGTCCACACCAAATACATAGGGATAGATACAGAGTCAGTAGTTGAACATGTGAAACTGGAAGACGAATGTTGCTAGTTTAAGAATTCTTATTGTAACCCTCATTAGTTACATGGTAAATTATTTTCCAGAAGCCTCTTGACAAGGCTGAGTGGATCATGGACAGCTTAAGGTACTGTTTTAAATAGTTTGGTAAGATTAGCCAAATATATATAACAAAAACAACAAATATGTTGTGCTTAATGCGTATCATTTCTCCACTGTGCTCCACACAGGTTAGCTCTACAGAGGCATCATATCAAAGCTCAGGCTCTGAAGGTCCTCACTCCTTAACAAAAAGCTGCTCCCCATCCAAAAGCCCGTTTGGAACTTAGTTTTACTTCAATTAGACTATCAATACTTTATCAAATAAAACATCTGGAGGATTAAAAAAGAGTGCATTGCATGCAAATGAGAAACAGAAACGTTCCAAGCACATCTGGGGCATGCCAATCTTGTGAAAAATCACAGAAGTGAAGCATGACTGTACAGAGCAGTTATCTGATGCAGATGCTTGTTGTCTAAATGCTGCAGTAATTGGTCACATGCTTTAAAAGAAATATCTGCTGTGTAATAGTGCCTCACTACATTAGATTCATGTAAATTCTTACCACTCTTCTGCTAATGAGAACAGCTCTTTAGGGATTCGGTGGCCTTTCCTTCAATAGGTAGGCACTCCTCCTTGTTAAACACTTTACAAACTTGCTTGCCGCTAAGTAGCTGTGGGGTTGCAGTACACAGTCCTTGTTTAGTCAAACCAAACGTAACTTGCAGAAGTCACACTGTCACCCAGTTTTAGGTATTTTTAATCTCCTACTGGAAACCGTATAGCACTCCATTAGCATTATATTTTGAATGTTAAGTGAAAATATATATTTTTTTTTCCTTGCTGTGGTGTTTCATATTCTGGGCTTTGAGACCTAGATATTTGTATCCAGGTAGAAAGCTAGACTAGATTATTCTATTAGCACAGGATACAAAGGGACATTACCCAGGAGCTTGACATGTGGTAGATGGGTGATGCTAGCAGACACATACTGAAGGTAGTCCTTTTACTGAAAAAAAATAATCTGTAGGTTAAATATAGTTAAAAATACCAAAGCTCATAATAACTTATTTCTAAAGGCAGCGTAAAATGTTATTTGTTTCATGCTGTATTTTAAAGATTAATGACAATGAAAGACATCTGTCTTAAAGCCGCCATGTTTAATATACAGGATGCTAGGGTGGTCAGTACCACAGTATCACAGTATGTTAGAGATTGGAAGGGACCTCAAAAGATCATCTAGTCCAATCCCCCTGCCGGAGCAGGAACACCTAGATAAGGTTACACAGGAACGTGTCCAGGCGGGTTTTGAATGTCTCCAAAGAAGGAGATTCCACAACCTCCCTGGGCAGCCTGTTCCAGTGTTCCGTCACCCTCACTGAGAAGAAGTTTCTTCTCAGGTTTAAGTGGAACCTCTTGTGCTCCAATTTGTACCCATTACCCCTTGTCCTTTCATTGTTTGCCACTGAGAAGAGCCTGGCTCCATCCTCGTGACACTCCCCCTTTATATATTTATATACACTAATAAGGTCACCCCTCAATCTCCTCTTCTCCAAACTATAGAGACCCAGCTCCCTCAGTCTTTCCTCATAAGGGAGATGCTCCACTCCCTTAATCATCTTAGTTGCCCTGCGCTGGACTCTCTCCAGCAGGTCCCTGTCCTTTTTAAACTGAGGGGCCCAGAACTGGACACAATATTCCAGATGAGGTCTCACCAGGGCAGAGTAGAGGGGAAGGAGGACCTCTCTCGACCTACTAACCACCCCCCTTCTAATACAACCCAGGATGCCATTGGCCTTCTTGGCCACAAGGGCACAGTGTTGGCTCATGGTCACCCTGTCGTCCACCAGGACCCCCAGGTCCCTCTCCCCTACACTGCTCTCTAACAGGTCGTTCCCCAGCCTATACTGGAACCTGGGGTTGTTCCTGCCCAGATGCAGGACTCTACACTTTCCCTTGTTATATTTCATCAAGTTATTCCCCGCCCAGCTCTCCAGCCTGTCCAGGTCTCTCTGGATGGCAGCACAGCCTTCTGGCGTGTCGGCCACCCCTCCCAGCTTAGTGTCATCAGCAAACTTGCTGATAGTACACTCAATTCCCTCATCTAAATCGTTGATGAATATATTAAATAATACTGGTCCCAGTACCGACCCTTGAGGCACTCCACTAGATACAGGCCTCCAACTAGACTCCGCCCCATAGACTACAACTCTCTGGCTTCTCTCCTTCAGCCAGTTCACAGTCCACCTCACTACCCGATCATCCAGACCACACTTCCTCAATTTAGCCGCAAGGATGCTGTGGGAGACTGTGTCAAACGCTTTGCTGAAGTCAAGGTAGACCACATCCACCGCTCTACCATCATCCATCCACCGTGTTATTTCCTCATAAAAGGCTACGAGATTGGTCAAGCACGACTTCCCCTTGGTGAAGCCATGTTGACTGCCCCTCATAACCCTCTTATCCTTGATATGCCTTAAGATGGCACCAAGGATAAGGTGTTCCATCACTTTCCCAGGAATGGAGGTGAGGCTAACCGGTCTATAGTTACCCGGGTCCTCCTTCTTGCCCTTTTTGAAGACAGGAGTGACATTTGCTTTCCTCCAGTCCTCAGGCACCTCTCCCGTTTCCCAAGACTTGGTAAAGATGATGGAGAGCGGTCTAGCAATGACCTCAGCCAGTTCCCTCAGCACCCCCGGGTGCAGCCCATCTGGACCCATGGATTTATGGATATCCAGATTGCTCAACTGGTCTTTAACCCATTCCTCATTGACTAAGGCAGACCGCTCCGTTGACCTATCTTCATCCGAGGTCTCAGCGGTACAGGGCTCTTCAGGACTGCCTCCGGCAGAGTAGACAGAGACAAAGAAGGCATTCAGTAACTCTGCCATCTCTGTATCTTCTGTCACCAGGGCACCCGTCCCGTTCATCAGCGGGCCTACATTGCCTCTGGTGTTAGTTTTATCTGCCATGTATTTGAAAAAGCTCTTTCTGATGTCCTTGACCCCTCTCGCCAGCTTTAATTCCAAGGAGGCCTTAGTCATCCTAGCAGCTTTCCTACATCCTCTAGCAGCAGCCTTATATTCTTCCCAAGTGGCCAGCCCTTCCTTCCATGACCTGTAAACTCTCCTCTTCCACTTGAGCATACCGAGCAATTCCCTATTTAGCCACGCAGGTCTCCTGACCCTCTTCCTTGACTTCCTACGTGTCGGGATGCTCCGATCTTGAGCTCGGAAAAAGCAGTCCTTGAACGTCAACCAACTATCTTGGGCCCCTTTCCCTTCAAGCAGCCTAGCCCATGGGATTTCCCCTAGCAATCGCTTGAAGAGGCCAAAGTTTGCCCTGCTAAAGTCCAGGGTTGCGATTCTACTTGCTATTCTACTGACCCTACCACACAAGATCCTGAATTCTACCATCTCGTGGTCGCTGCAACCAAGGCAGCCCTCAACCTTC